TCTATTATTCTAAAATATAAAGAAAATCATAAATTAATTGTAACTGAACCAACACCCATTCCTCTTGTTAATTGTTCAGTTTCTTCATTACCAATTGAAGGAAATTATATTGATATAATTACAATAGATAAAATCAAACAAAATGAAATTGCTAAGTGTTATAGAAAAACAATGAGATTGGTTGCTATATGTAACCCATTCTTTCAACTCTCATCAACAGTATTTATTGGATTTATTCATAAGTTTTTATATCCAATAAACCCAATATTCTTAACTAAAAGAGTTACGGAACCTCCTACAAAATTACTTTCATATGAAAATCTTTATATCCCTGATAAATCACAATTTGGTAATATTCCTTATCAAGGACTTGATGCTATTGACTGTATTATTAAAAAACCATCAAACAGTATTTGTTGTAAAATGACTTTCAACAACGAATTAAAAGAAATTAAGTTATGGCAGTTAAATACGTACCATGTCATTAAAGTGGATGATATAAGAGAAATATTTCCACGAGAGAATAATGGGATGTTGTGTGGTATAGAGCTAATTCAACGAAGAGGGCGTCCATATTTTTTATCGTTTGAAAATGAAAAAATCTACAGTATGGCTATGCAAAAATTCAGTGTATTCCTTGAGAAGTTTAAGTCAAACGTTACTATCAATATTCCAAATAAAGTTAATGGATCTTATCTCAAATTATGGGCTGATGGGTTATTATCTACATATGAATATATATGTGCATTAAATTGTTATTCAACAAGAAGTTTAGAATCTGTGGATATGTATTATGTCTTTCCATCAGTTGAAGACAGTAAAATAACATCAAGTAAAAATGAAAGTTTAATGGAACACTCAGCAAACACTTGTTGTTTATTATATACTCATATGCCATTTACTCGGATATTACCCCTATTTCAATTAAGAGTTGCACAACCACCAACAACAGTAAGGGATATTCGATTAATTTCATGTAACTGTGTCCCACAAGTCTATGCATCACAAAAAATATATTCAGGGATGGGAGGATCTGAAGATGGTATTTGTTATGGTAATAAACCAACAATTACAAAGAGTTCTAATCCACGAAGTATTCAATTGGCTCAAAGCCCAAAGTTTGGTTCAAGTGCATTAGAGGTTGTTTATAAGAAAAGAAAAGAATTAGAATCAGTTGAGGTACAAAAAAAACTTGGAGAATGGTTAAATATAAACTTTGGTAAGAAGAGTCTTACTCCAATAAATAATATCATCCTTAAAAGAAAAAAGTGTATTGATTTCTCTTATGATAATAAAAACAAAGAAAAGAAAATTAGTGTTACCAAAGAAAATCAATATTTAACATCTTCTGTTATTGGGCTGAATGTTCAAAGAAATCTTGTTATACAAACAGAAGCTAGTGATATTATTGCAGGAGAAGGAAAAGATGTTAGAACAAAAGTTGTTAATATTAAAAGTGAATATAAACGAATAATTTGTTGCGATAAAGTTAAAAATCGAGTGATTGCTTCATATCAACTTAATGCTGATATCATTACATTGACTTGGAAAGATCATATTAATACTATTAGAATAGAGAGTATAATTTCTAATTGTTATTTAATGGAAACAGAATACATTACAGATTTAGAAATGTTTATTATAACTAAAGCAGGAAGTATTATAATATATCGAATCTTTTTAGATGATAGGAATAACGAATTAAAAGTAAATTTAGCATTTACTATTTGTGTGGGTGAAAAAATTAAATATTTCTCTGCTTGTACATCATTTGGTTATATGATTTGTAGTTGTTCATCAACAATAGCATCATACTCTCTTCATGATGGAGCACCTATATACATTGTACCAACTTCAAGCAAACTCTTCTGTTGTTCAGCACAAGGTCAAGTATATGGAATATCAGGAAATGTAATAACATGCCATGACAGGTATGGTGAAATGTATAACATCTTTGAACTAAATCATCTAAAAACAAATAAACCATTAAAAATGGGTTGTTTAACTTGTGGGTATGAAGATATTATTTTCATTGCTACAAACCATGAAGTTATTGCACTAATTAATAGAATCACATCTTTTGATATATTAGACACAATTCAAATAAACCAATATTATTCAAATTATTCTGTTATTGATCTCCTTGTTCAACCAACTATTGGAACTGCTTTTAATCCATCAACATGGAATGTTTATCTTCAGTTAATAAATAATGAAAATATGATTTCTACTTATTGTACACTTCATGTAGATTGTTTTAAGATAGTAACATTAAAATGAGCATTGTATTTTTAATTACAATTTACTTTCACTTTCTTTTAGTTTTCGTTTTTCTACTAAAATGAAATGACTTTCTCAATTTTATAATAACAAAACTAATACAAATGAAAGCCTCTACTGTTAGAACTTGTTATTTTAGTTTGCATTAGTTTGAATGATTGAATTACACCGAAATGACCGAAAAAAAGTTTTTCTTCCTCTTTCTAATGAAAGTCTTGTCAACAATCGATACAGAAAAGATACTAAACTCGGTGAAGGTACTTATGGTGAAGTATGTAAAGCTGTTGATATTTTGTCAAATACTTTTGTCGCTCTCAAGAAAGTTAAAGCTGACCAAGAAGAAGAAGGAGTTCCTTCTACGGCTCTAAGAGAAATAGCGATCTTAAGAGATATTTCACATCCTAATATTGTTAAGTTTGTTATTAAATTAAAATAAAAAAAAAAGAAAAAAGTATTTAACTAATTATTGATGTAGATTATTAGATGTTTATAATTCAGAGAAACATTTATATCTTATATTTGAATACTGTAATACTGATCTTCATAAATTTCTTAAAAACAATCCCCAAGATCTTTCTATTAATTTTATTCGACACGCTTCATATCAAATGTTAGATGCATTAGCATTTATGCATTCACATCGAATTCTTCATCGAGACATTAAACCGTCAAATGTATTATTAAGTGGAGATGTAGTTAAATTAGCAGATTTTGGATTAGCACGATCTATTGGTATTCCAATAAAGAGATATACAGTAGAAGTAGTTACAATGTGGTATAGACCACCAGAGTTGATTCAAAAATATAATATTTATGGGTCAGGAATAGACATATGGGGAATGGGTGCTGTGATTGCTGAAATGATTCTTCATGAGCCAATATTTAGAGGAGATAGTGATATTGATCAATTACATAAGATTTTTGATATTCTAGGAACTCCAAAACCAATAGATTATCCTGATTTAGATTATTTCACTGATAAGAAAGTATTTGATTATTTTCCAAAGAATAATGTTGAATTTCGAACTAAATTAAAGTCAATTGGTGAAGATGGATATAGTTTATTAATGAAAATGTTTGAATATAATCCTGGAAAAAGAATATCAGCAAGAGAAGCAATGAAAGATCCTTTTTTTATAAAAAATTAAAAAAAAAAAAAATAGAAATATTAGAAATTAATTGTGTTAACAAAGTAAATTAAAAAAGTTATTATTGTTTTTTTATTATGTTAATTAATCATCACTCAACAAAAGAGTTGAGTTGTTATGTGTTTCTTGTCGTTGTTGTAAAAATTTTTGTCTTGGTGGAACTTTAGGTGGAGGAGCTGATGGAACAGCCATTGTTGTTGGTCTTTGTTGAGTAACCATAGGATAACGAGTTGTTGGATCTCGTTGTTGAACACGAGGACTTTGAATATCTTTAGGAGGATAATTTCCAAGAGTGAATTTTGTTTGTTGAGACATACCACCTTGAGAAGGACTTGTACCCATAATAAATTTAGATTGACTTGGGGAATTAGAATAATCAGGGGCTGAATCAATTAAAGAAATTAATGGAACTTTTGGAATCATTTTTGGTTGAACATGATCTGATTCTAAAATATTTGAATGACCAATTTTAGGAGGACCTAATTGTTTACCACGAACTTCAGTATTACCAATCATTCCCATATATTTTTTAGCATCATCAAAAATAAAATCTGATTCAGTAATAATAAAAGACATCATTCCAAGATATTTTGATAATTCATCATTATTAACAGAAAACATAGTTGGGGTCCAACAAACAGATAAATTTTTTTCATTCATTAAATTTTTTGATGAATGTAACATTATTTTATGACATAATTTAACAATTGCTTTAAATAAAACAATTTTCTCTTCTGGTACCCATTTCTGAGCATAAAATAATGATGATAAATTATTAATTCTTGTTTCTCTTATTTCTGATTCTTGATATTTAGATAAAACATCTTTTGCTAAAGAATTACAAAATAACATTCCAGGTAATTCTCTAACAAATCGTTTTAAAGTACTTGCAAGTGTTTCCCAAGGAAAAGAAGAAATATCTGATACACTTAATCTATGAAATAATTCATTAACTTGTTTTTGAGAAGCAGCTGTTCTGAAAATACCTTCTTTTTCATAATATTGATTTTCTAAAAGATTAATAATATCTTCTATTACTCTTGGTAATTCAGAATGTTTTCTTCTTTCAGCATCTAAAATTTCTCCAAGTGTTCTTCCAACATATGAAACTGAATGTAAATGAATTTGTTCTGAATCATTATCAAGATCACTTAATTGATTCATAGCAATATAAATATTCCCATTATTAACATTAAATGAATTTAAATTACAATTTAATAAATGAAATGCAAGATATTGATGTCTTTGCATTATTTTATTTCTAATTTCAAATAACCTTTTTAATTGATATAACATAATTGTCATTGTTTCAACACTATCAATAGGTTTTCTTGTATTTTTATTAAATAATGTTTTAACTTCTGCAATTTCACTTGAAATAAATCCTATTTGTTTTCCATATCCTTTTGTTAATTCATCTCTAATAAGTTGCATATTTCCTTGAATAAAAAGTAAATAATTAACTGAAAGTGCTTGATCTTCTTTTTGTAATGGTTCTAATAATGTTAATCGACTTCTATGTAATTCTGCCATATTACCTATTTGTTCTATAAGAATACTAAATGAATCTAATATTTTATTTGCAATACTTCGATGTTTCTTTATATATGATTCCATTTCTTCTATTTCTTTTATATGTGAATTTGCATATTCTGTTTCTTCAGTATCATTTCCTGATACTGCATTAACTACACTAACTGCTCTACCCATAACATCTCCTAATTTATCCATTTTCTTTTTATTATTTTAACCTTTATTAGTTCTTTATCTTTTTCTTTTTATTCATTTTCATATTTATATTGTTATTTTTTTTTTGTTATTATAAATTATTTTTTTTTTATACCTTACTATTATTACTTAGTAACTTATTTACCCAATCAAGCATTACACTCTTGTACTACTTGTTTCATTAATCTAGTGTTACTGTAACTATTTTATATGAAAATGAAGAAATTACCGAAAAATTACTCACCAATCTATTAAAAAAAAATGAAAAAATTAGAAGGAATGATAAATTAATTAAAAAACATTTAATAAGTTTTCATAAGACACATCTTAAAATTATGAAAGATGAAGATCTGAGAATTTTTCAGTTAATGCCAAAGGTGGAAGGAACAGAAAAGAAAGTCCAAGACGTTAAACCTAAGAAAGTTAGTAGAAAAGGAGTTCAATTTTCATTTGTAATACCAAATACAACACATAAAATGTATGCTATTATTTTTGTTGTATTAGCAGCAATTTCAATTGTATTAATTCCAATTATTTCAAACACAAACAACCCTGTAGAGAATCTTAGTAAATCTCTTACTCCGTTTGAAAGAAATTTAAGAGGACTTTCTGAAAAGTATTGCGTTAATACTATTAAAAAGAATCTTAATATGGAAGTCAATAATAATGTAAAAGAAGAAGATTATGATGCTGATATTATTAATAATGGTATTCAAGATATGTATTATCTTAATCAACTTGGAAAAAGTATATCAAAAGAAGATGTTATGAAATTATATGATGGATATGGGTTTTTAGAAGATAATGAAAAAGTTGTTGAAGTATTAGAACCTGAGGTTGATGAATTTGGATATGATGATAGTTCTAATGATGAAGAAAAAGAAGTTGTTGAAAAGAAAAAACCACAAAGTGTTTTGGCTACTTATTATGCACATGAAATTTTAAAGGCTAATAAAGAATTTGAAAATTATAAGCAAACTGAACAATATTTGAATACAATTAAATTTGTATTAACTATGCAAAAGAATGAAACTGGAATTATTTTTGATAATAAAGGAGGATATAGTGATATGAAAGTTCTTTATGCTGCTACAAGTCTTCTTGAAGATGCTAAAAATGTTGAACAATATAAAGAAGCAGTTAATAATGCAATTAATAAATTAAAAGAATTTTTAAATAAACTTAAATTTGTTGATGGAACATTTGATGAATCATTACAACAAACAAATTCATCATGTATTGGTACTGAATATGCATATCTCATTATGAAAAAACTTGATATGCCAATTCAAAAGAATACTATGAGATATATCATGAAATGTAATAGTGTTTATGGACCATTACCTACTCTTGATAGTGAATATATAAGTATTGAAAGTGGATTATTAATTTCAGAAATTTTAAAAACTCTTCCTCATGAAATTCAAATAGAAAATGTTGAAATAGTTGGTTATTGTAAAGGTGCTGCAATTATTTTCATTGGACTTGCTATTTCTTCATTATTTATTGATACATTCCCAATTTCTTATATTCAAGAATATTTCATTTCAGTTATAATGTTCATTGTTTGTGGTATTCTTTCTATTTCATTTATGGATCTTACCTTCCTTCCATTCTTAGTATTCCCAATTGTTATTATGGGATATACTCATTATGCTAAATGGATTGGTCCATTTATTAAAGACGAATATTTCTCAACTATTTCAATGATTCCAGCTCTTTTTGGACTTGCTTTTTATATTTTAATCCAAAAAATCTCTCTTTCATTCTTCGTTTCAATGGACTTTGTTCCAATTATGTGGATCTTCTATATTGTTGGTAGTTATTTTGCAGTACCACTTTGTAATAATTTCTTTAGTAAACAAAAACATGGAATCAATTATTATGCTGCTGCAAATGGAATTGGTTTTTCTATGATGGTTGTTTGTATGTTTGTCACTCTTTCTTTAAGTAAAATTAGAGTATATTTATTAAATTCTATTAATATCTCCGGATATAATTTCGTTTTGTTTGTTGCTTATCCTGCTGTTGGATATATTCTTTCAATGATTGCTTGTGGATTCTCTATTCCAAAAGTTTCACTTGCTTCTCTTGCAAAAGAAAAGAAAAAGGATTAAATTTTAAACATCCAAATCTTAATTCAATTGATTAGAAATAACAATTTCTTTTTTATTCAAAGTAATATTGATTCTTTTGAGTTATTTCTTCTAATCCCATTGTTTGTAATAATTTCACAACTTCTTCTTTTTCATAATGTTTACAATCTTTAATTATTTCTGGTGTAAGGTATTTTTCAAGGCATGTTCCTTTAATCATTTCTTTTACAATTTGATATATCTCTTCTTCTTCATTTGTCATTGCACTCTCTTTTTTATCTTCATTTAATTCTGTTTCATTATTAACTGTTTCATGTAATATTCTTTTTCATATTAATTTAGATGAGTTTTTAAATCATAAAATGATTGATAGCCATTTATTGTAAGTTTTCGTTTTCCATTTTTCGTTAATAAGACAGGAATTAATTGTCTTTTCTTGTTAAAAATTTTTAATTCTCATATTGCCTATACCACCTCATTTCTATTACTCTTTTACCATCAAATACCTCTTTGAAATAATCTAATTCTTGTTAGTGAAGAACCTGCAATTGCCTTGGGAGATTTCAGTGAGGTATTTATATTTAGTAAATCCAAGATGAAGTTATATTGCCAACTCTAACTTTTTTGTCTTAAACTAAATAAAATTAGCACTTGAATATATATAAAATTTATATATTCAAAAATTGTAACCTTCTTTATATTAATATACTTCCTTAAATTAAAGAAACATTTTAATTATTCAAACAATAACCCAGTAAGTTTCATTACTGTGCCAAAAAACCCAGTACTTTCTTCAATACGTTCTAACTGTTTTGTTTTTTGGTCAAGAATTAACTTCTTCCATTTTGTTTCATCAGTAAAGCCAATGACAATATCAATATCATTGTAAAGTAATTCTAATTGCCCTCCTCCTTTAATTACATTAATTTGAAGCTCTTCTAAATATAATATAATTCTAGTTTGAGTTACACTTTCAATAAAACAAGAGTCTGTTAATAATACAAAGTTCCCATCTAATGCTTTATCATCCAACCACCATTTTACTTTTTCAAAAGCTATAAAATGTTTTTCAGGTAAATTGAATTCAGTTTGGTATTTGAGAGTCATTTCATTACGATAAATTTTATCATGAATTCTTTGTTCCTCATCAACTACAGCTCTATTACATTCATTTGTTTTAGTTGTTATTATTTGAATTGCTTCATGACATTCTTGGAGTATTATTTCTCTTTCACTTTGCAATGACTCTGTACAAACACTATTTCTTGTTCTACTATTTAAACTTGGTGCTGAAGATTCTCTACTCAATGATGGTGTTCCCACTTGAGGAAGTAAATCAACTTGACAAGATTGGTCAATTTTAATATTCTCCACTTTTATAGTTGTTAATTCTTTTATTGGATTTTCTTGTTTTTGATTAGTTGAAGACTTCTCTTCTTTTTGGGTTGGTTGAGTAATTGAAAAAGATGAAAGTTGTTGGTTTGAAGTATTTCTTGATAACCTTTGAGATGACAAAGATCCAGGAGAAGCCCTTGATGGAATAGAGAATTTTGGTGCAACACAAATAGACACCCTTCTTTTATTTAAAAGTTTTGATGTTTTTCTTTTTGAAGTTTCTGTTAATTGTTCTATATTATCATTTTCTCTTACTTGACGATTAATTAATGTTATTAACTGTAATGGTGAAGAGTTCATTTGAATTGATTGGATTAACTGAATTAAAAGCATTTGATATCTTGGAAGTCTTTGGATAGGAAGAATTAAATAAGAGTCAAGACTTTGTAACTGAATACCTTTCTTGTAAGCAGTTTCTTGAATAGAACGAAGATAAAAATTTTGTTGTAAATTATTAATAACTCTACCATAAATTTCTTGCCTTTTAGTTGATGCCTTAAAATAATTTATATATACATTAAATTGATTTTCATTTTCTATAAACACTGCCCCAACATATTTTATTAACTCACCTTTTTTTAAATAATCTGTGAATTCTCTTAATAATTGTTTATTAAATTCAATTATATCTTGATAATACATAAACATTTTTCTTAGATCTTCACTGCCAATAATATGTTTATCATCTTTTTCCATTGGTTGTTTATATTTAAATAATCCTAATTCCATTTGAGAAATGTACCGTGCCTCACTCTCAACTAATTCTTTAAGAATATTTTCTGTTCGTTTTGAGCCACTCATTTCACTTGGATTATTCAAACAATTAACTTTTTATTCTAAAAAACTTTTTTCATTTTTTTTAAAAAATAATTATTTCTGGTATATATAACAATAATTAGTTGTATTTCACATTGATTTATATCGTTTTAACACTACTACACCTTTCCTTACAGCAATGGCAATAATGAAATATTCAGGATTTAATTTAACATCAATAATCCTTGTAGTGTCATCTGTTAACACATAACTTTCCATATTTTGTTCTAATTCAAGATCTTCAAGAATCTCAGTGCTTCCATCAGTTTTTTGAACCACTTTAACAAGAACATGTGTGGGTTTAATTCCATCTTTTTTTCTTTTTAAGTGGAACTGACTCTTATCAAACATTACTGCAGTTCCATCGTCTCCACCAGAAAATACTAAACCATCCCTACCATCAACCGCATTACAACCTGAACGATGTAACTTTGCACGTTGAAAAGTTGCTTGTTTCTTTGATTTTGGTTGTGTTGTACGCCTACCAACAACACTTATATATCCAAAAGAATCAGAGACTATCATAGATGATTCACAATTACCATTCCAACAAATATCAGTCATAAAAATATGAAGAGCTAATGAATTTAATAATTGATTTGTCAAGAAAGAATACATTTTTACTATCGAAGGACCACGAGCACAACAAATAAATGAGTGTGGGACATCTTTTGAGCATATCACTTTAATCAAAGGAGCGTTATGTGTTTTTAATACTGATACTATTTGGAGTGAATGATTAATTATTAATATTCTACCATCAATACAACCAACTAAAAGTAAAGGGTAAGTTGGGTGTGCTGTTAGACATGTTGGTGAATCAGGTAATTCTATTGAATTAGAGGAAGGATGAATAACTTTTGAAATTGGAATAGGATGAAAAAGATGAAGAGAACGTGTAGTGATGAATGCTAATTGATATTTTTCATCTTCCTTGTTTTTATTACTACAAGTCAACACAATGAGATCTCTAATTGTAGTAGAAAAATCAAATATTGAAATTAATTTTGCTGGGTTCAGTTGATGGTAAAATAGTATATGTTCGATTTCATTTCCATTAGGTTTTTCAACACAAGTAATAAGTTTTAATGAACCCACCCATCGAATAAATGAAATTTTATTTGTGACATGAAAGTATAATGATTTTCCAGGGGTTTTACATTGTGTAGTGATTTTAGGAAATTCTGATAGAACGATATATTGATGTTCTTCCTCCATTCACCCCCAACTTCTCTTTTTAAATATTTGTTTTTTCTTTTTGTTTTTTTTATTTCATTTAAAAACAAAATCATAAAAAATTTAAGAAAAAATGAAAAAATTTAAAACTTCAATAAAAATATAGTTTTTTATTAAATTGTTATTAATTTTTTTTTGGCTTTTTCATCTATTAAAACCATTTAATTAATTAATGGCTGGAACAGGATATGACCGTCAACTCACAATCTTCTCACCTGAAGGGAGATTATATCAAGTCGGTTTGTTACTTATTTTTTCAAATATCTTAACAATATTTATTAAGTAGAATATGCCTTAAAAGCAACTAAATGTGAAAGTTTAACAACGGTTGGTGTATGTAGTGGTGAAGCTGCATGTATTGTAACACAAAAGAAATTACCAGTTTGTCGTTGGTCCTTTTAACATTTTTAAAATTTATAAAGAAATTAACACAACAAAGGATAGATTAGTTGATCCATCAACAGTAACTCATCTTCATCGTATTTCAAAACATGTTGGTTGTTGTATGTCAGGAATATATGCGGATGGTAAAGTTATTGCTCAAAGGTCACAATATTATGCAAGTAAGTTCCAATTAGACTATGGATATGAAATGCCTGTATCATTAGTGGCAAAGAAAACGGCTGATTTTGCTCAAATGTTAACACAACATGCATACATGAGACCTTTTGGTGTATCTTCAATGTTTATTGGATGGGATGAAGTTTCAGGACCTCAACTTTGGAGAAGTGATCCAGCAGGTTCTGTTGCTGCTTTTAGAGGATGTGCAGCAGGAGAAAAAGAGCAAGAAGCATTTAATAATTTAGAAAAGAAAAAGATTAGTAATGAATTAACTGTTGACCAAGTTGTTTGTCAAGCATTGGACTGTTTGCAAACAGTTACTTCATCAGAATTTAAAGCTACTGACATTGAGATTGCAATTGTAACTAAAGATAATAAACTTTTCCATTTACTTTCGCAACAAGAAATTGAGCACTATCTTGTTCTTGCATCAGAGAAGGATTAATTAAGTATAACATCCCTTTCTTTTATTGTTTATCTTTATTTATAAAATAAAATGTTTTTCTATAAAACAAAAATCAAAAAAGAACTTAAAAAAGAGAGAACAAGATAAATGAAAAAAATACAACAAGTTCTTAAAGAATGTGACATTTTTCTTAAGGTTCCTGAAAAGTTAAAAATAACAACTAACACCACAAAATTATTTTCTGTCATATCGTATATTATTATTGGTTTATTAGTGTTCAGTGAAACTTATAACTTTTTAAACCCTCAATGGGTATCTCATGTTGATGTTGATACTGTAAAGGCAGGCGTATTACCAAATATGTATATCAATATTGATATAACATTTCCTAAAATGAAATGTGATGACTTTGGATTGGATGTTACTGAAATTACTGGAAGTTTACAATTAGGAGTAACAGATGGAATTAAATTTGATAATAGATTGTTAGGAGGTTGTAGAATGCATGGAACAATGAAAGTAAGTAGAGTTAGTGGAGAATTTCATGTAGCATTTGGTAAAATTTCATTTAGGCAAGGAAGATTAAACCAGTTTATTACTGCAACACAGAAACATACACAAGGTCATATTCATCAATTTACAATTCAAGAAATGAAAAGTTTTAATCCTACTCATTACATTAATCATTTATCATTTTCTAATACACTTGGTTCAACAGTTCACTCAGGTGAAACTCCTTTAAATGGTAAAGAATTTACTTTAAATGGATTTGATAATGCCCGTAAAACATATTACATTAACGTTATCCCTACTTTATTCAAATATCCTTCTTATACTCTTCGAACATATCAACTGTCTGTTAGTGAAAGAGACATTCCAGTTACTTATGGTGCTTCATTTGCTCAACCAGGAGTTTTCTTTAAATATGAATTATCCCCTTACATTGTAATCAACGAAATGAATGATCACTCATTTGCACATTCCCTTGCATCAGTTGGTGCAATAGTTGGTGGTGTCTTAATTATAATCGGATGGTTATCAAAGCTTTTTGACTCAAATCGTGAATTAGTAACTTCTGTTGTGGAGATGGAATAAAAGGATGAAATAATATGATTTCACATTTTTATTTTTATTATAAGAGTTTTATTATAAAATAATTATTTTTTTAATAAAAATAAAACCAAATCCTTAATTGAACATTGTTTTAAATGAAAACCACTATCTCATCAGGAAAACAATGGGTTTGTACCTTTCCTGGATGCACTGAATCATCACCAAAAACTCATTACAATTGTTATTCACATGTATGGGATGCACATTTACGACATATTATTTCGTTTCAAACTATAGGATTTAAAAAAGCTCCATCTTATAAGAAATTACCTGATAGAAAAGCAGTTCGAAAATTATGTGAGAGTTATATGCAGAAATTAAATAAAAATCAAAATTATGATTTCAATATTCCAAATCCTCTTGTTAATTTAAATTGTCTTATTTTAGATACTAAAATACCTTTAAATAATTGTTTACTTGAAAGTGAAGAAGTTATTACTACAAATAAACAACAACAAACTACTCAAAATTTAAATATACAAAACGTTGACTCATTTTCTCCTTTAGTTCAACAATTTGATTGGAACATAACTCAAAACTCTGAACAAAATACATTAACCTCTATCCCATTTATTCAAATAGAACTCCTTCAAAATGCTTTAAAACGATTACATGTTGCAGGAGAAATACTTGCAGAAAATGGTTTTCTTCAAAGGTCTGATAGTAAATTGAAAACATCTATCAAACCATTAACCAATTCTCTTCAAAAACTATTTAAACTTGTTGGTGTTCAATATAATTATAAAGAAGACAGTACAACTAAATATGGATTTATTGCTCAAGAAGTAAACAAAACTTGTCCTGAGCTTGCTCCAAATGGAACATCTCTTGATGTAGTTGGAATTCTTCCGATCATTATTGAATCATTAAAAGAAATTAATTCATATATTAATGATACTTCAGAAATTAAACAACAAGTAACAATTACATTAGAACTCGTTGACTCAATAAAAAAATACATAGAAAGTACTGAAGAAAAACAACAAACTACTACTCAGTCTCATAAATTTCATTTTTCTATTGGACCAGCTGTTATTACTGCACCATTAGCTGTTGGAACAACAGCTATTTCTATATGGACTATTTTTGCACTCCCAAAATTACCTGGAATATGGGTATTATTATTTATTACTTCAGCATGTCTTTGGGTATCTTTTTGGAGAACAAGAAATGAAATACATAAAAACATCAAAAATGTTAAGTTATATTGGACAACAAATAACACTGCTTGTCTCTGGTGTTTATTATTTCTGACACTACTTAGTGTCTCAGTTTCATTAGTGATGGGGATTGTTGGAGTAATAATTTGTGTTTGTGGAATTATTGTAGTAGGACTAGTCATAGGGATTGCTCGGTGGGCACCAAAAAAGTATGGATGTACACTAGAGATTGTACTAACAATATTAGTAGCATTTATGGTGTTATTCTTTTTAATTATTGGTGGAATGTTATTAGCACAACCTGGTTTTGAATGTTATTTAAACGGTAAACACGCTGAAACAACTATTTTATTGAAACAAAATATTACAATGGAACAACTTGGTGTAAATAAGTTGCCATGGAATTGTTGGAGTGACAACCTTCTGGTTTATGGAACATTACCAATGGGAATTTCAATTGGTCATGATGAAACACCTTATATTTATGGCAAAGTAGAAACACCATTTGAAGATACTAAAGTTGATGTCTATGTAAAATGTGTTGATGCAATAAAGTTCTATTGCTCAACAGTTAATTTTAAATATGAAGCATAGTACTTAAGTTAAGAAAAAAGTAATTTATTGTTTATTTGATCATTTGTTAATTGTGCTGAGGAAAAGTAAATGGTTTTTCTTTGTCAATTTTTGATGTAGCAATTTGGAATGCTGGACTTATCCACTTACCACATGAGCATTGATTCCCAGACCAGGTATAAGTTCCAACTTCATAGTGACATTTAGGACATTCAATCTTACCATTATTTTGATCACATGGACCCATCCATACCAATTTGTCTTTTAAAAAGACAGAATTGCAGTCACCACCACCACCTCTCCTTCTATATCCAAACGAAACTTCATTGCTATTTGGTTCATGTGGTTGTATTTCATTTTCTGTGAACAACAATGATCTACATTTCTTACAACGGTAATTGATTGTCATTTGAAATGAGAAAACCTTGTAATAAAAATTGTTAGATAGTTTTTTGTTTTTAATAAAAATAAAAACTGAAATCCTAGTGAAAAAAATAAAGGTAATTGAATAATCTTTCAAATTTATTTGTCAAACACATGACATTGTAATATAAACTTGCTCCCTTGTCAATAATCATATTTTCAACACGAATTAAATATATAATTTAGTTTTGTTTAAATAAGTATCTATAATATATTATTAGAAATATTCTTAATATTAAACTTATTTTGAAAGCATAGTTCATCTCTTTCAAATAAATTAAACAACTTTTGAAACAAGACAACTGCTTTATAGTTCATAGTCAATAGGATATTTTACTCTTCTTAGTTTTTAAAATTATTAATAGAGATGTTCTAATACTTTTTTTGACTCTATTAATGATTTTATCATATCTATGTTTTAACTGAATAACAGAGAACACTCATTATTAAATTAATACACTTATTTCAATGGATATGTTAAATTAATGTATAATACAAATTAAAGTAATAAAATAATTTATTAAATCTTACTATGAAAATACGTAATAAGTGTCATTATCCAACTCAAAAATGTTAGATATTATATTTTTTGAAAATTAAAGAGTCAATAAAGAAAAAGGTATAATATTTTGTTTTCTAATAAGTAACTAAAAAAGCTAAATTTTCATATTGTCTATTGTTCAGTAATAGGCTTTTTTATTTTTATATTATAAAAAGTGTTTCGATGGTTAAATTAAGTTCAAAAAAAAATTTCTTCAAACAAGTATTTTATTTATTCCAAATAAAGAAATGAAATACAAAAGTAAATAATTACAATCATACAATTGATTTCCAAGTACAATATCTTAAATGTACTTGTGGAAATGAGTTTAAGTTAATTGGAGATGAAAAAGTTCCAACCAAAATTAATGAAGCAAGAACTGGAGAAGGTTTCGTTATATAAGAAAATTCTTTTAATAATTTTCGAGCAGTCAAGACAGTGTTAAGTGACATATTGATACGATCTAGATATGATTTTTTATCAATTTCTAATGGTTTAAAAACGTAATCACGTGTTTTTAATAATATTGATAATAATAACATTAATATTAATCTTAAGAAACATTCAACTACATCTGTTATTACAATATATTCATTTGGAACAAAATGAATAAGTATAAAATTCACAGTATATACAATAATATAGAAAAAAATTACTCCCAAGTTAAATTTAAGCATCTATAATACTAAATTAATTATACATTCATTTTATATTAAAAAACTTAAACATAACAAACTAATTTCTTTAATTTGAATGCTTTTATATATTCAATAGAAGTTGCAATTAATATATGACTATTAATAATTCTGTTTGAAGTTGAAAAGTTGAAAACAGCAACAGGAAGGAAAAGTCCTAAAGTTACCATAAGATTTCCAAGAACAAACCATTTAATCCAAAAACATTCTAAAACTCCACATATACAAAAGATAATAAATCCAAGTATTAATAACTTCATTTCATAAAAGTGAACTTTAAGATAAATAAGTTTGTATCCTTTTCCTATCAACATTAGGACTGCCATAGTTGTTGCATCAACAAAAACTGTAAAAAAATGAGAAATTGTTTGGGTAATATCTTTTTCATATCCATTATAATAAGTAATCCAAAATCCACTGTTTATTAAAGAAGAACAAAAATAAAAGAAGAATATAATGAAAATGAATAATTGAATACATGAAAAAGATTTTCTATGAAGAATAACATTAACAATTAATCCAATAACATTAGAAATAATAAATAATAATTGAACAAGAACAATAATTGGTCTGTAGAAATCCTCAGATGATAATTCAATACCTTTTTTATTTATTAAGTGTACTTTATAATCCATTTTAATATAATTTGGAATATCACAAAATAAAAAATAAATCTCATATTGAGAAGGTGCAGTTACATTAATTGTCATATAAAATTCAAATGGAGACACTACGTACATCAGTTTATTCATTTAAACAACTTTATAAAAAAATTATAAACAAACCATATTCACAATGTTCTTTTAATGCCCTACATAAAGTGTCATCATCATACGTTTCAAGATATTCTTTAGCAGTTTTAATTTTACATATGGCAACATTAATTGTTGATAGTCTATCTGGAGATGGGGACAAAGAAGAAACACTGAGTTCCATTCTTCCTTGTCCATCAAATCCAAAAGTTATAATTTTAACAGATTTCTCTGAAAAGATAGTTGACTTTGAAACATAAAGTCCTTTAACACTAACAAATAAAATAATTGCAATAATACTTATCTTCATAATTCGTTGTTGACTGAGAGACATTTTTCTTTACCAGTTTGATTGGATCTTTAAGAGAATTTTTTTGTTTTCCTCTTTTTTGTTGTCTCTTTTGACAAATAAGATTAATTGTTATAGTTTTATTGTTAAAATATTATAGTTTTATTATCTAATCATTAATCAATAGAATTCTTCTTCTTTTAATTTATTTTTATTATACGAAAAACTTGAATCTCAATCAAAAAATAAAAAAAAATATTTAAGAGTTAACTCAATTTAGAAGGTATTTGATAATAAATATCCAATACAATCATTCACAACTTGAGCAATAGCTAATTTGTATGACCCAACTCCAATCTTATAACTTCCACCAAGAACATCAACAAATATTCCAATTGGTTGATCTAAAATGATACCACCACAAACGAGTTGATTTGCAGATGATGAAATAATTTTGAAATTATTTAATTCAAATAATTGTTGAAGGTCTTTTAGTTGCATTGAAGTTTGAATTTGATTTTGAAGTAAACAATCTCCAAGAAGTTCTTTTTGATTCAAAAAATCAACAGACTGATTTAATGGTTGAATATATCGTAAAATATTAATTGGTAATGAGAATGATAATTGAGTATTTTGTTCTCCAATTGTATATGCTAATCCTACCATAGGAGCTTGTAAAAATAATTGTTTTAATTCAAATCTACATAATACTTGTTGTTGTTTTTTTGGTTCAATATTGACTTGATTTGTTTGTAACAAACAATTAATTCCTTCTTCACCTTTTAAAGCAATTTGTAAATTAATATTTTGGTCTTGAGTATTTCCAATATATAAAGCAACATCAACTGTATTTGAGCACTTCATTCTCATACCAATTTGAATACAACTATCTTGGAAAAGAACTCCTTCTTTTTGTAAAAGTAATTTTTTATGAATAAACCTTACCTTCTTTCCTAATTCAGAATCTGCATGTGAATGAGTAAAGACACTTCCTTTATATCCACGTTCATTGTATGGGGTATGATCTAATGGTAATTGTTTTGTTTGGTTTTCAGTAATTTGTTGTGATGGTACTGATCCAAAGAGATCCAATATATTTGTTTGAGTAGATGATTGAGTAGAAATATGTCCATTTATTTGGCTTGAATTATTGAGGTTAGTTTGTGATTCAGATACTTGTTGGCTCATGAATTGATCATCATCCTTATTACTCTTTTCATTTTCTTGATTGTCTTGATTTTCATTAATAGCTCGCTCAGGTAATGGTGCGATAGCAATTTCATATGCATTCTTATTCATAATATTTAAGTATTCAGCAGCTCTTTGTTGAACTTCAACATCAACAGCTGAAAGATACATATGACAAGCTTTTTCACAAGTTGGACGTACTTCATTTAATTCTTTAGCCATTTTGATTAAACATGTTAATATTAATCTTTTAGATGTAGAACTTACATATGGTAATTGTTTTGTGATGTATGAAGCAACTTTTATTGCTAAACCTCCAAGTAATTGAGGGTACTCTCCTAAAATAACACATGACATTCTTAAAAATTCTTCATGCCAACATCCTCCATGAAGAACTTGAACAATTTTTTGAACTGCATATTGGGCTGCATTTCCAAGTGAACTAAGAACTCTGTCCCATAGTTCAGGTCTTACAAATTCACCTCCAAGACATGTAGCTAATAACATAGTATCTACATACCATTGATCTCTAACAGGATCCATTTCAGCAAGAATAGAAATTTTTACAACTAATTCTTCTTTTAATTCTCCTTCATCATTTTCAAGAACATGAAGTAATTGATTTACTACTTTTCTAACACTCTGTGGTGTACATAATGCATATAATACATCGACAGCTCTTCTACGAATAGTAACATCGGGTTCATCAAGACTATTTAAGATATGAACTAAATAATTTTGACATACATTTTTATAATTTGCTTGTCCAAGAAGAACAAATGTATCTAATGCTAAATATCGAATATTAACTTCTTTGTCTTCGACTAAAGTACCTAATAAAGGAAGAAGAATTTCAAAATATTCTTCTTTTTCATGTTTAATAACAATTGACATTACTTCAAAGATAATTGACATTTGAATTGTTTTTTCGTTACATGGTTTATCAAATCTTAAAGTATCACTTGTTCCTAGTACTTTACGTACTGAATCCCAGAAAATTTTTTGTGTGGTTGTTTCTAAATCAATTGTTGAAAGTAATCTAAATAATAAAATTTGAAGCCAAGGAGCAGATGTATCATGATAATCAATTTCAGGTGTATATTCATGATTAACTAATCTTTGAAGAATATTAGTTAGTTCTGTTCCAAATGGTTTAAGAAGTTCTGGTTGTTTTTTGCCAATTTCAATAAGTAATAAAACCATAGCATTGATAATTCCTAAATCCATTTCAGTAGAAAGTAATTTTTCTAAAGTTTTCATAAAGTCTGGATTAATGTTCAATACATTTGGTTGGGATTTATATAATTGTCTTAATGTAATAAGAGCTCTCTTTTTAACATTTGTTTCACAGAATCCTGAACATAATTTAAGAACAGATGGTGCTAAAGTATCTGCCATTTCCATATTAGCTAAAGTAGAAATAACAGTTAAAGCATCACAAAGAACAGGTTCTAAATTATTTTCTAAGTCTTGTTGTAATGTATTGATAATCATTCTTGTTGACTCTGGAACATTTGAAAATAATAATACAAATACTAAATATCCAACATGTTTATCAAAATATTTACTACTTCCTAATAATTGAATAACTTCAACAAATCCAGTATCAACCTCATATCCAAGTACTTCAATATATGCCATTTTTAATACACATTTTCTTCTATCATATGAACTGATTTTGCCTTCTTTAAATTCTTTACGAATCTTTGCTAATTCACAATTGACTAACTCTTTTTCTTTTTCAAGACTTGTACATTTGTGTATACTCTCAGTAAAATTTTGAAGTCCTCTAATATAAGTTTTGGCTCCTTCCATCTCGTATTATTTGATAATTGAGTTCTCTTTGGAAATGTTAATTCTTTTATTCATTCTTTTTCTTTCTCTTCTATTCTTCTTTTTATTTTTGAACTTTCTTTTTTCTTGGACTTTTCCTAATTAGTTTTTTGTTTTTCTTTTCTATTTTTTCTATTTTTTCTAATTATTTCTGGATCTTTTACAAGTTATTTATCGTATTTTGATGTTTTTAATTAATGATCTAATTTTTGTTTTTAAGATTATAATTTTTTTTAATTTCTATAGAATGAAAGATATCTACTCCTGAGGCAATTCAACATAATTATTAATTGATAAATAAGTAAACAAAGAAGTATATCTTTTTCATTACTTTAATTTATTATAGATATACAAATTGGTTGTGAATATTATTTTAGAAATTGATTAATCAAAACGAAATTATGATTGTCAATTCAAAGAATAAAGTTTTTATGTTTTTGTTTTATTTTACTTTAATTTTTTAAACAAAAATAGTACTAGATAAGAATACTTAATTAATAAACATGTACTTAATCATTTCATTGAAAAAAAGAAAGAAAGTGATAAAATAAGATTTATAAAATTATTTATCAAAAATAAAGAAATAATGTTTTTTTGTTAAAATTATGTTTGATAAAAATTTTCATTAAATTATGATTTAAAATACGATTTTTTTTAATAAGTTGTTATATAAAACATAAAAAAAATAATAATAAAATCTAAAAAGGTCTTAAAAAAAATAAATAATCATGGGAAAAAAGAGATATTATTGTGAGTATTGTCAAAAACACCTTGTTTATGGAGGAACCAGAAGCAGAAAAGAACATATTCTTGGAAAGAAACACAAAGATAAGATGGTTGAATATTTTAAACAGTTTGAAGCAAATATTTTGCAACGTATGATTGATATAGTTGTTCTTGACTATCAAACAAATGGACCAAACACAACAACCCAAATACCTCAATACACACCATATCTCTCAACTTGGGAAAAACAGAGTAAGTTACAATACCAACAGATTGCAGAATCAATGAATTGATTTATTTGTTATATAATTGTTTATTAAAAAAGAACAAAGAAATCTTGACAAAGAAATCATTTCATCATAAAGAAAATAAGAATAATTTGGAACACTCCAACGCATATTGAATAAATACGTTTTTTATTTTCTTCTGTTTGAATTGATGCTAACGAACCAAATAACATTTTATAAAGGAAAAAAGCATATGAAGTTCCAAAAAATAATAATGCTATATATGTCAAATAAGGAATTTGTAATGAACCAACGAATGTACACATTAATACACTATTTAAAATAAGTATTGTTTTATTCTCTAAATTCATTTAACAAACGGTACAAAAACATAGGAGACATATGACAAATAAATTCTAAAGTCAGATGAATAATTAAATAACATATATTCAAGGAATTTTAATACTAGTACTTCAAGTGAAATAAGAATTAAACATAATGTTGTTGTCATACTTAATGTTTCTGGTGTAAATGTTCCTTTAGATCCATAATAAAATCCAATAGCAAGAACATATGTAATAAATCCCATTAAAGGAATATATAAATCTGGAGCATAAATATCCTCTTGTGGAACGTTATATAATTTAGATTCATCTTCTCCAATTATATATTTTCTTTCCCAATTACCTAAGAATGGATATGGCATTATAATCATTAATATTTTTTTCAATACGAATGAAGTGTTAACATTAAAATAATATCTCCATGCATCAAATGAAAAAATTCCACCTAATTGTGACTTAAGTAGTTGGTCTCCTTGATTTAAATAATTTTGTGCTACAGAAAGACCAGCACTAGCAAGCGGATTTGCCGCAATATTATTAAAGAATTGATCTGCTTGAGACCCTTGTTGATTTTGTGTTGGAGGGATAATTGTTTGTGGACTGGTTGGTTGAGGAGATGACATTTTACAAATTAATAGTTTTTCTTTTTATTTATTATTTTAAGAATTATTTTTTATTTTTTTTTTTTGTTAATAAAAAAGTTATTAATTACAAAATAATTCTCTTTTTCATACTATCACATTATTATTTAGACAAATATACATTGTTTCCTTATTGTCATACTTGTTTGATTTTTCTTTTTGTTATTTATCTTTACTTCTAATTATTTTCTATATCTAATTAGATACTAAAACTTATTTTTAATACTCCTCATTCTTTAACTTCTTTTTTTATTTCTTTTTATTTTTTGAAAATTTTTTGTTCATTGTAAGAAATGAAGCTATCACAAATACCTTCAATTTATTAGTTAATGAAGAGTGTCATTAAATCATACAAACAAGGTAATACAAATTTGATATACAGTACACTATATTTCTTTATGGTTTAATGATAATCTTATTACAACAAAATATGTTACTTACTATATATCTATTAGTTTATTTTAAGTTATGAATAAAGTTTCTTCATTAAGAATAGTATAATATTTTTATCTCATTGTCTATTTTTGTTTATCATATTTAATCATTTCCAATAAAATATTAAACTACCAAATAATTGATATTTTAACAATAAATCTTTTAAAAAATATACATCTATCATAACAAAATATAACACTCTTTAAACTACAACTTTTTTAATGAAAAACACAATTATTATTATCTCTGAATAATACAAATGGTTCAGAATAATGAAATAAATTGGAAAAATAAGAAATAAACAAAATCATAATAAAAATAAAATGATTTAATTTTATTAAAAATTTAGTAATTTTTTAATATTTGAATGAGTTCTAAAAATTTTTTGAAGTATTTAAATACTTCTATTAAAATATAGTATCAATTATGATAATATATCGTTTTATAAAACAATATTTTATAATTATTTTCTGAATTACAAAAACTAAAAAAATTATAAAAATTATCGAAATCTTTAAAGTCAAAAGAATAATAAACGAAAAATGAATTCATCTAAATTATCATTAACATCATTATTTACACCCCCATTTACCGTATTAGATACTATTATTGAATTTGCACTTAAAAATAAAGATACTAAAATGGCAGATTATGTTTATAAAGCATTAACTATTGCCAATAGATTAGAATTATATGTTCATAGATGTGTTAGTGAAGAAATACAAGGAACTCGTTTGTTTTAGATTAAAATTTAGAAAAAGAAAGTACTATAAATTCATTAATATAGAGAGTGAACAAACAGCATTTCGATTAAATTCTAAAACAACACGGTTATTAAATATTATTTATTTAAACCAAGGCATTGGATTTCTATTTCATTGTTTATCACCTCTTTTTGATGAAATAGAAAAAAAGAAAATAAAAATAAAACCTGTTTGTTAATTAACTTCTTTCAATATATTTGAATTGACATTCAACTTCTAGCTTAGAACATGTAAAACTGGTGACCAAGATTTAATAATTTGTGCTCAATTAGTAAATATGACATTTCAAAGAACTATTTCAAATATTGATAATTGTCCTTCAATAGTAAGAAGAGTTTTAAGAAAAGTATATGATGAGTTAAATAATAAATTTCCTCAAAGTAATACATCTTGGATATGTCTTGGTGGATTTATTTTCTTAAGATATATTTGTCCAGCAATTATACGTCCATTAGAATGGGGATTAGTATACGATATTCCTACAGATATGCTTGAAACATATACACAAATATCTGTTGTATTACAGAAAGTAGCAAATGTAAAACATTCTGATGTTGATGATCCATTAGGAAGATTAACAAATGTTTTAGTTGAATCAAGAAAGTTAGATTATTTCAAATTTGTTACTGAATTAGCTGTTTGTTTTTATTTTAATATTCATAATTTATATACGTACATAATTATTAATTTATAGAATGTACCATATGAAACAATAATTGAAGAATATCCAACAACAACACAACAATTTAATTATTACCTTGGAAGATTACAAGATTATTTCCTTCAACATAAACAAAATATCATTTCAACACTTAAACCTTCTCAAATAAATGATTTTTCATTATTTGAACAAATGAATTTTAATGAACCTGATTCTCAAGTTATTCTCCCATCTATTGTATTAAATAATTTATCTCAATTCCCTCAATCAATTAAATCTAAAAATATTTTAATTGAATTAAAAAAAAAAATTGAAAAAGGATTAATGATTACTTTATGGGATATGCATTATCTTCAAAAGTCAATGCAATTAGAACAAGCAATCTATGAAGAATCTACAAAAGATCTTGTAAATGCACGTTACAATAGTTATTTTCCAGGAATAGTTACATCATCAGTAGAATTAATATATCGAGAAGATTATTCTCAATGAACATGAACATCTGTTAGATATTTTGGTTAGATATTTTTAAATTGAAAACTTTTTATAAAAAAAATTAAAAAAGGGTTTTTATTTAATAAAAAATTTTCAAATAAACAATATGAGTGAAGAACAACACGATTATGAATTAATAGAAAAAATGAAAGCACTAAGAGAAATTGTTGTTGAACTAACAAATAAAATAAATGTATTAAATATGAAGTTTGAAAATTTATACAAATGAAAACAAAAGAGTAAAATTTATTTATTTAGACTACAACAAAATCCATTAAACACACAAAAAGGTATTTCCTTTTTAGATGTAAAATATTCATTGTTGTTTGAATATAATATGTATTTAGCTTATTATTGTTGGATCAAATCATCAGGATCAAATGTTGAACGTCATAAAGCTATTGAACGATTATTTTATCTTCGTATTTTAATGGAACGTTGTAAACCAATAGAAAAGAAGTTAAAATATCAAATCGATAAACTTTTAGCAGAAACTATTACTGATGAATCTTTAAATGCTAAACCAAATGTAGATGATCTTGTTGTTGAAAAGAATGAAGATGGTATTTATAAACCTACTACTATTGCAGGTAAAGCTATGGAGGTTGAAGTAAATGATGTACCTGATGCTAAAACTTTTGCTCGCCATGAACTAGAAGAAAATGTAGATGATGATATTGATGCTCCTGAAGAAATTGGATTTGACGGACAAGTTGTTGTTGATAAAGGACAAATGGAAAGAGAAAAAGAGATTAGAGAATATGAAGAACAAATGCATGTACGTTTGAATAAAAAACAAAAATTAACAAAAATTCGTGATGAATTTCAAGAACTTGAAGATTTTGTTAGTAATTTAAAAGATGACTTAGTTAAGGAGTATAGAGGAAATAAACTTAAAGGAGATATTGTTGATGATAATGACTCTATTAACTCTGAAGAAATTGAAAGTCAAGGAAGTGATGATAATAGTGATCAAAGTGGAATTGATGATGAAGAAATTGATAGTGATGAAATTTGATTGAATTGATTTTTATTAAAAAAACTTATTAATTTTTTTTTGTTATTTCATAAAATGTTTTTAATATCACTAAAATTTATAATTTTGTTTTATTTAGAATTTATTTTAATTGTAACAATTCCTAGTTTGTAGTTTTAACACTAAAATGATTACTCAGTAAAACGAATAAACATTTAAAAATTTATTTTATATGTAAGTACGATTAGCAAATTTTTTAATAATTAATAGACACATTTTTTTAGTACATAACTAACTAATTGGAAATAACTCTCTTGTTAAAAAAAAACTCTTCTTAATTTGAATTCAATAACATTACTAGTCAGCCGTGCTATACTTAATATACTTTTAGAGTATTCAGAGCTATTTTAAGACTTTTTGATGTTATGCAATAATCATTGTTAAAAAAAAAGTAAATATATTAAAAACAAAAAATAAGTAAATATTATTAAATAATTAAAGAATGAAACAATAACTTACAATAATGAATAGAATAAATTTATTGGAAATTAAAAAGAAGCTTATGGAAAAAATTGATTTTTCAACTTTTCAAATTTAAATAACATGAGGAATAAATTTAAAAATTTTTTTCTTCATAAAATAAGATTTCAGTATCATTTCGACTTGTAGTAACTAATAAGTAAAGGTCAGTTTTAGTTTTATGATTCCTGATTTATGCAAACTTCACTTTTACAATAAAATGTTTGAAAAAGAAACAAAAACAGGAATAATAATTGTTATGTTATGTTATATTTGATAAACTTTTGTAAAAAAAATAAGTATTTCAAATATAAACAAAAAATACCAGATTTAAATAAATCATAAATAAAAAAGATGACGTGAATACAATAAATAAAAAATATTAAGTAGTTCTTAAAAAATACCATAAACTAAATATACCCTTATTTTTAGAAGAAGCTAAAGAAAATACATTTTTAATAAATGAATGTGAATAAAAGATTTTTTTAAAAAAAAAAGAATTAGAATATAAAGATAAATAATAAAAAAAGATCTTTCTAGAAGTAGTAAAAATATATTTTAATGCCTCTTTCATTGAAAGAACTTATTAAAATTAAATTAAATTTTTTAATTCTTTGAACTATTTAAAGAATCTAATTGAATCTTAAAAAGTAAACAGTTAATCTTTATGGCTGATATTTGCTTGGTTATTCTTGCTCTTTGTTTCCCATCAATTTCACTTTGTTGCAAATATGGAGAATGCAATCAAACAGTATGTATCTGTGTTATTCTTGAATGTTTCCTTTGTTTCTGGGGAGGAGTTATTTTTGCTTTAATCAAACAACTTGAAGATTAAAATTGTTTAACTCTTAATTCATTGATTAAAGATAATTTTTAATTTACTGAAATCATATAAAAACAAATTTAGTTTTTATTTTTTTTAATGAAAATAAAAATTTTTAATTTGAACCAACTAAAAAAGAGTAATGGGAAATAAAGCTAGCAAAAAAATCAAGTGTGTTTTTATTATTTACTTATTTAATTAATACTCATTATTTAGGATTATTACTATTAATGCTGCAGAATCAAAACATAAAACTATTTCTGAGGTTGTTCGATTTGCACCACCTTTGAGTATTATTATTATAAAACCTGGAACTTATGAAGAAACAGAACCTATTATTGTAGATAAAGCAATTCAAATTATTGGTATTAATGAAGGTAAAGCAAAACCAATTGTTACATCTCCTCGTGGCTGTATTGAAATTGACTGTCCAGATAAAGTTATAATTAAAGGACTTGATCTTCGAAACACTGAATCAAAAGTAGTTATTGACGCAAAACAAGGTGAAGCTTGTATTGATTCTTGTGATATTTCTACAGCAGAAGATGGTGTATCTGTTACTCATACCGCTAAAGTAATGTTAACTAATTGTCGTATTTGTGGATGTTCTAAAGCAGGTCTTCATTGTGGAGGAAAAGAAATTAGATGTATTACACGAAATGTACAAATTTATGAATGCACAACTGGAGTTGCAATATTTAATGAGGCAAATCCATTAGTATCGTCATGTAATATTACACAATGTGGAATTGGATTGTTTGTAAGTGAAAAAGGAAGAGGATGTATTACTGATACTTTAATTTCAGGTAACAAAAAGCCAGGAGTGTTAACTCATTCTGGTGGTAACCCAGTATTAAATAATACTAAGATTGTTGATGGTTCATCAAATGGAGTATTTGTTCGTTCAAAAGGAAAAGGTGTTTTTGTAGGATGTGAAATTTCAAAAAATAATTTACCTGGCATTGCTTCTTGTGAAGGTGGAGAACCATTAGTTGTTTCATCAGCTATTTGTGAAGGAAGAAATGCTGGCGTTTTTGTTTATGATAATGGAAAAGGTATTTTTGCACAATGTCAAATTCGAGATAATACAATGCCTGGTATTGAAGTGAGAGCATCTGGTAATCCGATTGTTGTTGGATGTGAGGTTTCACGAGGACAATCAAACGGTATTTATATTCATAATAAAGGAACAGGTTTATTTGCTCAAACTAAAGTTAATGAAAACACATTACCAGGTGTTGCTGTAAGAACTTCTGGAGATCCTATTTTATGTGATTGTGAACTTGTTGCTGGTAAAGACAATGCATTATTTGTAAGTGATAAAGGAAAAGGTGTTATTTTAAATACTCTCATTGAAGGATGTTCAGCACAACCAATGGTTATTCAAGATGGAGAACCATTAATGGTTGGGTGTTCTGTAGTTGATGGAAAGAAAAATAATGTTCAGGCATGGATTAATGCTATTCCTGAACATCTTGGTTTATTAGAAGAAGATATGCCTGATTTTGATGCTGTCTAATTTTAATTTTTTTATAAATAAAATTATTTTAATTAGAATATTAAAGAAAAAAATTATTTAAAAAAAAATTATTATGAATTGTTTAATATTTTTTTTTTAAACTAATAAAATAATTAATTACTAGAACTATTAATCAAAAAGAAAATATGTCAATTGTTATTTACACTTCATCAACTGGAGGAAATTTAGTTAGTAAAAACTTTAATTCTATGCAAACCATAGTTAAGGTTCTTACCAAACAAGAACCTAAAATTGTTTTTATTGATATTGATTCTGATTCAAAAAAATTTGCTGAAGAAAAAAGTGGAAGAAAAGGACAATGGCCATTATTATTTAATGGAGAAAAATTTATAGGAAGTTATGAGGATATTGAATATTTAAATGAAGATGGAGAGTTAGCTCCATTATTAAAGTAATATAATTTTTTTTCTTTTAAATTTTTAAGAGAAATTTATACATAATAAAAAGAAT